AATTATGTAATAAATGCTTTTACTAGCACAAAGCTTTTAGACTAAACCAGGTTTCCTGGGGAGGGGGAAGTCTCCATCTACTCATGGTTTTAAAAAAGGAATGCACCGTTTATTTCCAGTCTGCAGTACAAAATCCTACCTGGGGTATAAGGATTAATTTGTGTTACTGTTGTTGTTTTTCAAAAGCTCTCGTTCAACTTTAACACTGGAGCTGGCCGATTTTCTTTTCTTTTTTTCTTTTCTTTTCTATTCTATTCTATTCTTTTCTATTCTATTCTATTCTATTCTTTTCTATTCTATTATATTCTACATTCCAATATTCTACATTCCAATATTCTACATTCCAATATTCTACATTCCAATATTCTACATTCCAATATTCTACATTCCAATATGTGATCTATTCTATTCTATTCTATTTTATTTTATTCTATTCTACATTGCAATATGTGATCTGTTCTAGTCTATTCTGTTTCTATTCTACTCTACTCTTTTGGTTTGTAAGGAATGTTTTGCCTTCACCCTCATTCCCCGGAAGATTCAGCCAACTGCAGAAACTCAGTGTCATTCCAGATCTGCCTTCAAAGTTAAGCTCCACATACTTGATTACATGAAGAGAGTTTTGCTCATAGGGATCAATCCTGGAATTATCTCCCTCCCCCCTCTTTTTTTTTCTTTTCTTTTTTTAAATCTCCTCTACAGCTGGAAGAGACTTAACAGCTCTCATCTCTGCAATAATGATGTATATTCTCTTGGTCTTCCTCACATTGTGGCTCCTGATTGAGATGGTTTACTGCTACCGGAAAGTTTCCAAAGCAGAGGATGCTGCCCAGGAAAATGCGTGAGTTTGGAGAAATCTGGGCATCTTGGGAAGTGAGAAAAGAAAGTAGAATTGTATTTTAGCAGCCGGGCGGGAGTGGGGGATGGAGAAGCAGCTCAACTTCTCCATAGTTACAACTCAAGGTTGGCCAACCTATAATCAGCACTCAGATCAAATATGAAACCAGTAAATGTCTAAGGAGGTTCTCTATCATCCGGGTCATGGTTGTCTCAAAGTTTTTTTTTTCAAGAGGCAACTGGACTTTCTGATTTTTCTTTGAAGATGTTTTGCTTCTCATCCAAGAAGCTTCTTCACCTCTAGATCCTTTCAGAGAGTCTTAGAGGTGATCCTGAGGACACAGATAAACCTCCAAGTGGCCTCGACGACTCTCTAAAAGATTGCAAACGACCAGCTGTCTGCAAGAAGCATAAATCCTTCCATTCCCCATCATCCAGTCAGAGTTGAAGAAGCTTCTTGGATGAGAAGTGAAATGTCTTCAAAGAAAAAAAACAGAAAGTCCAGTTGCCTCTTTTAAAAAAAGTACTTTTGGAATAAAACCAGTACAAACTTTAAAAAAAAAAAGCTGCTCCTTTATCACACTAGATTCTAGGTAATCTGATGAACACATCTGTACAGTTGCTTTGGCAAAACTACATCATTGATTCTTTCTAGAACTTTTTTTTCCCCCCAACAAGCTAAATAATCTGTACTTTTTGATGGTCTCCCCATAACCATCTCTGACCTTGCTTAGCTCTTTGAAACCACGTTCCTTAGATCAGTGTTTTCCAACCTTGGCTAATTGAGTGGACTTCAACTCCCAGAAGTCTCAGCAAAGGGCTGTTGTTCCTTGTGGAATTCTGGGAGATGAAGTCCAAATGGTTGGAAATGGCCCAGGTTACTTAGAGGATGCCACCTTGCTGGACTCAATCCGTGGGGGTTTCTTTTTTTATTATTTTATTATTATTATTTTGGGGTTTTTTTATTAAAAGTTTTTAAAAAATGTACAGATATATACCTCTCCCCCAAAACCCATCTCCCCCCCAACCTCCCCCCTCTCAACCTCGCAGAGCAAATATAGGGTATAAACATTAACAACCATATTCTAAAATAAACTAACAGACTTTAGCATCATCCCTCACTTTAACTCCCCTTTTATAAAGCTAACTTTAAACAAGTTGTATCATTCCTTGCTCAAATCACTCCTAAGCTATCTCTCCACAACCCCCCTCCCCATTGTGTGTACGCGTGTGTGAGGTTGT